TCTTTCATAAAATCAGTTAAAATAACAGGCTTTTCGTTATAAATCATTTAAGTCTACATGTTTGCCAGATATGACTCTCATTCAAACACACTTTGATTTAGGAAATACGTAGCTTAAGGAAATAAGGAGGTACAGTTGCTGTAAAAGGCGGAGGAGAGGGGGGATTAAACTAAAGTAATTTTGAAAATTATATCAAAACTAAGTGCCTTTTGATTGGATAGTGTTTGTGCTTTTGTCTATTGATTGGTTCATGGAGTGAAACCCATCTTACTGCCATCGTACCGCACGTTTCTCTCTTCCATACGTCCTTGGGGAGCTTTATCATGCCACAACATTGAAATGGCTTTCCATAATGGTTATCGTATGAGGTACGGTACGACATGCCTTAACAATAAAATGGCATCCCATAAGAATGGTTATCGTATGAGGGGGTAACATCATATGGTACTGAAATAGGCAGCACGTAAACGGTACGACGTGCTATAACATTGAAATGGCTTCCATACGAATGTTTATTGTATGAGGGGGTAACATCATATGGTACTGAAATAGGCAGCACGTAAACGGTACGACATGCCATAACATTGAAATGGCTTCCATAAGAATGGTTATCGTATGAGGGGGTAACATCATACGGTACTGAAATACAGCACGTAATAAACGGTACGACGTGCCATAACATTGAAATGGCTTCCATACGAATGTTTATTGTATGAGGGGGTAACATCNTGAAATACAGCACGTAATAAACGGTACGACGTGCCATAACATTGAAATGGCTTCCATACGAATGTTTATTGTATGAGGGGGTAACATCATATGGTACTGAAATACAGGACGTAAACGGTACGACGTGCCATAACATTGAAATGGCTTCCATATGAATGTTTATCGTATGAGGGGTTAACATCAAACGGTACTGAAATACAGCACGTAATAAACGGTACGACGTGCCATAACATTGAAATGGCTTCCATACGAATGTTTATTGTATGAGGGGGTAACATCNCGACGTGCCATAACATTGAAATGGCTTCCATACGAATGTTTATTGTATGAGGGGGTAACATCATATGGTACTGAAATACAGGACGTAAACGGTACATGCCATAACATTGAAATGGCTTCCATAAGAATGTTTATTGTATGAGGGGGTAACATCATATGGTACTGAAATCTGAAATACAGGACGTAAACGGTACGACATGCCATAACATTGAAATGGCTTAGTCTCCACTAAGAACGGTTGCGGTGGGGGGGGGGGGGGGGGCTAGAATGGTTATCGAATGAGTAGAAAACCTCGTTACTGACTTACACTACTGAGCTCATAGACGGAACGACGGAACGGTATGCCGTAACCTTAAAATGGCAATGAAATCAAAACACGTGATTGCAGTTAAAACATGTGATTCAAGTTGTAACGGGACACAATTGAGCTAAGAAATTATCGTATTTTTTCCCTACTTTTTGGAAAGCTCGCCAAATAAAATCTAACCGTCCTGATTTTGCTTCTCTTTGCAAATATTTTGTTCGTAGCTCAATATTTTCTAGTTCCAGGCTCGATAAACGACAGCTATCACTTGAAAATAAAGAAAATAAGACTTGTGAAAAGATTCACTAAATATCTCTTAAGAGTTAATAGAAAATACTTGGAAATGTTCGCTGTGACAAACAATGCCGCATAACTTCGTCATGACAAATTATCTCAAAGGATATCGATAGTCTTAACTTCATAAATAATCTCTTAAGTTAGATAATAGTTGGGATATGATTCTTGTTGTCAAAAACAATGCCGTCTTCCCCGTAGAGAGCTAACAAAAGCCACTGAATCAAACCGATTTCAATCAGCAGGGGTTCTGAAAACCGTTTCACTGATGCATTGTTAATCAAGACTGTTTTGCAAGACTTTATCCAAAGACGATATTTATGGCGTTTTAGAATCATGAAATTATAGAAGACAAAAACTATTGAATAACTGAAGATACACGGCCGTAGTTCGTGATTGTTTTTGACTCCAGCTTCGTCAGTATGAGCAAGCAAAACAAGAAATACAGACTCGGTATTTGGTACTGAACTTTCCTATTATGCGTGTAGAGTCCCTACGTTAATCTATCAATTCTTGTTGGGCCAATTAGGTTTAAAGGATTAGAGAAAAGATTTAATGGCCAATTTATATACGCAGAACACACCTAGAGATTTCTGTAATACATTGATGATCGATGATCGATGATCGAATAGCTACAGATGTTATCTTTGCTTGTCGTTTATTACTAAGTCTTTATGAGGTAATTTTATTTCCATGTCCGAAGAACGAAAACAAAACAGAAGGAAAACAAAACAACTTGACTGATAATTGGAGAAAAAAGCGGAATCGGCTCGTGGTGAAGGTATTTTATTTCAATAAGTGCTAATTAAAAAAGCGAATCAGTATTATCATTATTATAATATGAGGTGATTTTATTCAACGTCGGAATAGCAAAACAGAAAGACAAGAAAAGAAAAAAAACAAAAAAACAAAACAGCTTGGCTGATAATTTGAGAAAAAGAATCGTCTCGTGGTGAAGGTATCTTAAATGGTAATGAAAAAAGCGAATATTACCATTATTACATTATGAGTTAAAGCGAATATTATCATAATAATATTATGAGGTGATTTAATTTCAAAAAAACGAAACTGAAGAAAAACAAAGCAGCTTGAACATCATTTTAAGTAACAGAATCGGCTTGTTAAAAAATCAACTAAATAATAAAGGACAACAATACAATGTAACGTGAAATTAAAAAATGAATTAAACGGAGTAAAAAAATATTTCATAAAAAATACTCCATCGAGACGTATTTAAAAGTGTAATGGATAATGTCCTATGTCGATTTGCATTTCAACTTGCAGCTTGGGGCGGAGTACCGCAAGGGTCAACACTCGGCCCACAGCAGGAATCAACTTCCTCAAGTCCTCATTCGAAAAAAAATACGCTACAATAATTAACAGGGTTTATAATAAAACTACAACCTGATAGTCTGACAGCATTTTATAATTGAAAACCCGCTTTGAATAAAGATAATTTTGAAAGGACACTGTGCGTTAAAGCGACGTCTTCGCGTTGTTTTGGTGATGTTTTCCAGCCGTTTTTATCTTTAGGGGGTCGACAACTGCTTTTAGCGGACACGACATCAACTGTGTTTTTATTGAGGTTCGCTTGCCAAAACTAGCTTCGTCGGGAGACTCAATCAAAACAACCATTGTTTATTGACATTTCGGTTCGCAACAAAGCCGAGAAGGAGTCAAAACAACTCTGTTATCAAGCGGAAACTCATTTCTTTCTCACTTAAATCTTTTCAATGGTCTTTGATTTGCCATATTGAGATTTCTAATAGACTATGAAAACGATATAGGAAAAAGCGGCAAGCTGCTTTTCATACTTCAATACATAAAAACACAATCGCTGTTTGGGCTTCGTTTGTTTTGTTTTGTTTCAAATCAACCGTTGTGTTCATGAGAATTCCCGCAGAAGATACCATAAAATCTAATTAATAATGATTAGAAAAATACAAATGCCGTTTTAACTCGATTCGTTTGGGGTCAGGTTTTTCAATGCACGCGTGTCGAACTGTTTTTAAAGAAAGAGAAAGGTTCACAAAACTGAACGACGCCCAGTTGTGGCAAATAATAATAATAATTGATCGGTTTTTTACTGGACTTCGAGCAGAATGCTTTAAATAAGTCGAGTAATCTAACATACACATCATTCCTAGAAACAACCTTTGGGTTGATCTATGTCAGAGTATGGCTAACTCACAGATCGAACCCTGAAACAACCTCTGGGCTGATCAAAGTCAGGGCATGGCTAACTCACTGATGGAACACCCTCTGGGCTGATCCAGTCAGAGCACGGCTAACTCACAGATCGAACCCTGAAACAGCCTCTGGGATGATCTAAGTCAGGGCAAAGCGAACTCACAGATTGGTTTGCTTTGCGGAGGGAGGAAAACCGGAGATACTGGAGAAAAACCCTCGAATCAAAAAGAGACCTATCGTTTACGATCGAGTTTTAAAAATTAATAGAGCTCTGAAGAGGAACATTTAGTGCACAAAAGATCACCATGATATCGACTGACAAAGAACGGGCAATTAGTCTTGTTTTTGTTAAATTTGTTAACAATTTACAACCAACTGTTTTAAAATACTTCTTGAGACCTAAGACCAACGCTTATGTCAATTGAAAGTCATACAGGTTGTTGATATTTAATGAAATAAAATAGAGGATTACTGAAGGAAGATTGTCAAGGAAGACATCCCCGCACGGAAAGGATGGGTAACTTTGGAGCAAAAATTTGGTAATTTTTTGAACCCTTGATTTATAGTTCCACACACACACAACCAGAACAAAACAGCTCTCTTCTCATGAAGATAATATGCAAACAGTTAAATGACACAATAAATACCACTCACATTTTTCAACTTTTCCAAAACTAAAAAATATCTTTGTTAATTTCAAACGAGAATTTCAAACTAAAGTTTATAAATTAACTCCTAAGGTTACTTGAGCCAAAGGAAAAAGTTCAGTTAGCCATCGAAGCAGTCACGTCCGTGATTACCTGATGCATGTGTGTTAAAAATACAGGTGCAAAAGTGGCCATAAATAACTCACACGTACCTCCCCTAATGGCCTGTGACGGGTATCATTGTCATAACGATTTAAAGCAGCAGGTATTTTAAGTGCACGAAAAATAAATATAAATTGTTTCAAACTTAAAAACTTCGTCTCATGTGCTTATATACTAATTAACTGTTTAAATTGAGAAAAAAAATTTCCCGCCCAGACCTAACGACTTCGTCTCATGCTTTTATATACTAATTTATTAAATTAAGAAAAAAATTTCTGTAGCCTTGGAAGGACGACAAAAACAAACTAAATAAACTTATTTCGTGCTGTCGTACTAATCAGTTAAGAATAAAGTTAATAAAAAATGTATAAGATTATCTTCCTTTTCAATGTTACCTTGGATGCAAGACTGACAAATATGAAAAGATTGGCGCATATTTCAACGAAGATCAGTGTGATTTCTTTGTATTTGCAAGTTAGGCCCCGTCCACACGTATCCGGAAATTTTTGTATCCGCAAATTTTTTTTTGCGGATACGAAAATGTTCGCGTCCACACGCAGCGTATACGAATCGTTTTCACTGTCCACACGTATCCGGAAATTTCATGATCCGATCTGATGCACGCTAGTGCCTAGCCCTTAGGACGGACAGTTTTTCTTATCGAGCATGCGCAAAATCGTGTTTATGTCATCGTATTCGAAAATTTGCGGATACGACCGTCCACACGTATCCGTATTCGGATCGTATTCGAAAATTTCCACTCGGGAGACCGTTTTCGAACATTTCCGGATACGGATACAAAAATTTCCGGACACGTGTGGACGGGGCCTAAAAGTCAACAGAAATAGAAACCCTCCCGGCAAAAGGAGTTTTAATGAAAATTAATTGATGACAGAGCTCAAAATATATCTTTTAGTCAGACGAAGATTTAAATTTTTTCCATCAAAGAAATAGCGACAGTTTGCGCCACTAAAGTCTGTCGGGTAACTGAGCCCACAGCCTATATTGTCAGCAGTATTGCTTTAAACAGGAAACGAATCTAGGTAATAAAAGGTATATTGTTTAATCTTAGTACTTTATACTACCTTAATCATGTGACACCCGTTACCAAGGCAACTACGAAATGGCGCGAAAATTAACAGCTACACATTTAAAAACTTTTATTACAGCGAAATATATATAAACCGTTGAGAAACGAAATAAAAACTTGGTTACTCTGGTCATATGTTGTAAACGTAGATAGATGTGGCAGTGCGCCGTGTGGGATGGGCTCGGATATCAAATAAGAACATGCGTAATGTTCATCTAAGGCTCGTAATTTACTTATTACGCATGTTCTTCTTTGTTGTAAACGTAGTGCAGTCCGGATTTAGACCATGCATGCTGATGATTGCCGACATCGTTTCTCTCTATCTTACGGCTAATAAGTGCTTTACCGATTTCTACTACTATAGCAGGCAATAGTAATAATTCTTTAGAATTTGACTACAGCCCGTAGTAATAAAAGGAATTTACACGTCAACGAACAATTGAAACACTTAAAAATTTCACAGGTTGTAGGCAATTTCTAAAGAATATATTACACGCTGACGAGGCTGAGGTTGAGCCGCGGGATCTGTGAAATGGTCTATTAGCTCAGTTGTTTTCTTTCCTCGTGTTCCCTGTGAGTCTCAGTGATCTTAGACTTCTCGTCTCTGTATTAGTTCACGCGCATGAATAAAGCAATGCGGCAACCAGGATCGCACGCGTTGGAGCTACGCGCTGAACGAAAATGGCGGGAAATAATTTAGAAAAGTCGACAAACTTCTCTGTGTATCTCGCAGAGGTCGACTTGGAGCAAGTCTACAGTGATCTCAGCATACAGCAAAAGGCCTCGTCCTAACAGACGAAAAGCCACTAATTACCTGTAAAATAGGGTGATCACACGCTGCACTATAAATTCTTTTCTTTAATAAAAAGGTCGTCCTAGCAAAAGAGACATTTATGCTACACTCATTAGCTGTAAAAAAGGGTTATGACTCGCTGAACCTTTAAGCCTACGTTAATCTACTACTTGGCTTTCACTTGACTCAGCTGCTTTCTTTCTCTGTGTTCCATGTGAATCTCAATGATCTCAGCAAACAGGTCTCGTCCTAACAGACGATAGGCCAGAGGCATAAGCTGTAATATGGTGTTATTGAATCTTTTCTCGCCAAAACAGAAGATATCCAGACCCAACTCCAGACCCATTCCATAATCACATTCATCGTTAGCAAACTGCACGTAAGTCATGATTTCTTGTAGTTCTTCGGAGGCTTTCTCTCGCTCTTTTTCATCTTTTCCTTCAGATATTTTTCTCAGGATTTTTTTCAGTTCACCTACAATCAATAATGGGTCAAACTTTAACAGCTGTAGCAACCAAGTGCTTATGTTACCTAGTATTGATGGTTTTCACGCCGGCCATGTTGGAGGAACTTAACAAAAGAACTGTCAATGAATTCTTTTGCTATATCCTCCAACATGGCCGCCGTGTCTTTTGTTTATTCAATTCTCTTGGGAATGGTAAAAACCATCAATTATGAGTGTAAACGCAAATAGACTTCAGCCGGACTAAATTTTCCACTCTTCCACCAGAGCTTTTAGGTGTGACGTCACTGGTATGAAAAAACGACTTCAGGGTCCAAAACGAAAAGCAGTTTGAGCAACAAGATTTGCTCAAAGAAAATCGAGGGTAAAAAATAACGAAAACAAGGGCCCAAAAAATAACTTTCAAATTTGCAATACAATTATAGACAAGCACTTTATAATATTTTTAATTACAATTACGATTCATATTATTCTATAATCTAATATTATTCATTTATTAAGCTAAACTTACCATCAGTGACTGTCAAAGGTCGATAGCCCACTTCTGTTGCATCCACAGGAACAACCATTCCAGCTTTATGAAATGTTTTGGAATTTGATTTCTTGTTTCTTGCTTTAATATTGGGAGTGAGTGGAGATAAGTTGTATTTGAGCTCCTTGGCTTTGGTCGTGAGTGAAGACTGTAGCTTTTTTAAGGAGTTTTGTTTTGTTTTGACTTTACATTTCTTGAGAACATCGACCAGATGAATGCTGTGCAACAAAAAATTGTTCCAACTATCTGCCCTTCTACTTCTGATTTATTTAGTGATTTTAAACACTTTGTGTCTCTCATATTTTGACATACAACTTTAAACTTCAAATTTTAGTGACATAACCCTGAAACAACCTCTCAACTCCCGTCACAGGTTGAATTCGAATTTAGCTTGTTAGGTTTTGCAGAAACAATGGAGAGACCCAAGAAAGGTGGAAGGCGAGTGCACTACTTCAAGGCCACTCTTAATCCCCCTTGACATCTTTTGTCTCATACGAGATGAGAGACAGAAGATTGAGCTTGCAGATAGGATTCTTTAAAGACAGTGATAATCAGCACTTTCAAATTCAGATTCAATCATGAAATGAGAATCACATGTTTGTTAGCTGTGGATGCTGTAGTGTTACTACTAGGCATTACCCTTGTAAAGCAAGGGCTTTTCATGTATTAATCCCAGAGCTTGTCAGATCAAAATAATTCATCAAAACAAGCCGTTGATACTAAATGAGTCATCCCATCTGAGGTGTAGCTCAATTTAGTATTATTTTGACTGCAATTTTGATTTTGCAGCCATATTTTAGAATCTTTGTATGTTCAAAGCCTCAAAAAATGCAATACAAGGCATTTTCTGTGTTTGTCAAACTGGGATAACCACAGGAAGCCCATGTGTATAATTTAAGACAAAATTTAAATTACTTTATAAGGTATTTCCATTTACCTTACTGCTGAGAAAAGATTTTCCCCCATGATGACCATTTCACAGTCGACATTAGCTTGATTGGATGCCACAAACACAGGTAGAGTCTTCGGGTCATCTCTAAGAATACAGTAAGGACAATATCAATTTTGGGCCTCCTGTGGTTGACCAGAGGCAGACCAACAGTAATAAGGAAGTAACTGCAAAACTTTGTTGAAACATTTTTAAAAAAATTAAAAATCTTTTATTGACAATCTTAATTGCAAGTACAGCAGTGGCACAGCTCAATGGGTTTGAACTGAAAGCAATAAAGGTGCCTCTGGCAGCCACTATACAGTCAATGTATGATCCTGGAGCACAGCTCTAAGCAGTTTGAATCAATTAGGGTTGGTTTGATAGGATGGAGGTTAAACCCTGGGGGGGTACTCCCCTATATTTGCTATACGGGTATGTGCCGCCCTATAGGGTATGGTTTTTCAGCTTTTGGGTCTGGGGTAGGGTATCATTTTTTGACATTTTGTCTGGGATAGGGTGTCATTTTAGTCTGGGATAGGGTTAACGATTTGGTCATTTTTGTCTGGCGAATAGGCTACGCTTTCTGCCAACACAAAAACAATAAAAATGTTAGTAAATGTTGATTGCAATTGATTGTAAAACCGTATTTTCCGTCTTTTAGTCTTGGATAGGGTGTACAATTCTTAGTTTTAGTCTGGGGTAGGGTATGTAAAATCAAAATTTTAGGTCTGGGATAGGGTCAGGGTTTTGAGGTCCTGGCGGCACACCCCTACCCAAGTTGGGGTGGTAGTATCCCCCCCCCCAGGGGTTAAACTGGAAAGCCCAAAAGCCCTCAGAGCAGAAAGCAGCAGCAGCAGTAAGGGGGACTCGCGATCGATGCCGTATATTTGCGGGTTTAACCCGCGGAATTCCGAACGCGGGTACAGCAGATTTACGGGATTTCCCGCGGTGTGTCCTTACTGCTGCTGTGTTGGGTACCGCAAACGGAGGTTAAAATATTTGTCGGATATACGATGCATGAATGTAAAAAGTTCGCCAATGACTTCTGTGTGATTTGCCTAAGATTCAAAGTTTAGTAGAGTGTACAGAATCCCATTTTCCCGGCAACCACTTTCGGCTACCTTTTTTTGTGT